AGGGATTTAGCTCAGTGGTTCTGCCGCCTGCCTCAAAAGCATAAGGTCTGGAGTTTGATCTCTGGTATCAAAAAAAAAAAAAAGATATTTTTTAAAAGTAGGTTAAACAGATATGGACCAATGCAACTGAAAGCAAAGGCTTAGTGAAGATCCCAACATTGATTATTTTATTTATGCTAGTAATTGTGTCCCTTGTCTTTCATGATCCTTGCTGAACAAAACAGCTTTTGCCTATGAACACCTTAAGATCTGGATTTTTAATAGCAGGGCTGTTAGATCAGGCTCAAATTAACTCAAGACAAACATGATTCTGGCAAAGCCTTTGTAATGGTTATTATTAGGCTTCATACACTAGAAATCTTTCCTTTATAACACAATTGACTTAATCTTGGTTTTGACAATTTTTTAAATTATCTCTATGGGAGTCTCTCTGAGGACATTGGTGATAAATAATCCTGTAGTTAGATTTTTGTTGTCCCTTCTGCCAGGAAGCTCTCCCAGTTGTTGGTCTTATCTGGCCCCTCACTGGAGAGGAAGTTTTGGTAACTGGAAGTCTGTGTCATAGCTACTTTAGCCACATTTGAGCAACAAAGAGGTTCAGGCATGGTCCTCAGGCTAAGCTTACATACAGGCTATTGGTTGGTTGGTTGTTGAGACAGGGTCTTACCACATAGTTCAGGCTGGTCTTGAATTCACTATATAGCCCAGACTGTCTTGAAATTTAGACAATCTTCATGCCTCTGCCTCTTGGGTCCAGGGATTATAGGCATGTGCCACCATGCCCAGCAGAGTTTGATCTTACCTATTTTGTAGGGGATGGCGAGCATCTTAAAACCTTGTTCCAGATCATTTTGCCAGAAGTCGCACTTCTACAGAATTTTGAGAGGCAACAGTTACGAACTTTTGAAAGTAAAATACATGACCAAGTGCAAAATAAATGTAATAAATTTTAGTTATACCAATTTTACCAAAGATAATCAAAGGAAACCCAATTTGTCTGCTGTACTTGTCAGAGCCTTTTCCGTGAATCCAACTGCAAATGCCTCAGAGAAGAACCAAAACTGTGAATGACAAAGACTTAACATGGTCATGACTGGAATATTGAGAGTTTAGCAAATGACAATCTACTTGTTTTGTTGCCTATGGCATTTTAAGATGACAATCATGATTAACCATCAGGTTTTTAAAGATTTTATAAAACATGTAGAATATTGATATCAATACCATACATTACACATCATCGTATTTAAATAATGGTTGGTCATTTAATCTATTATAAACCACATTTAACCAGTTATAAAGTGACCATTCAACAGACTTTAAAATTGATGTTTAAATAAACCTTAATTTTTTAAGATTCTGTTTTTCTAAGTAATTACAACACATAATTATCTTGATTAAAAAAACAACATCTTTGTTTCCTCAGTCAATTTTTGTAAACTTTAGTAAGAATAAAATTTAGGGGCCATAAGATGTTATTTGAGCTCAATGATGTTAAGGGGTACAGGAAAAATTCCTGACAAGAATATGGAGTGGCTGCAGGTGTCCCCATCAAAACTGCTTTTAGGAATTCCAGGGACAGTTTACCTTCATGAGTTTGAATTAAATTTTGCCTGATGCTGTCTCCTGAACCCATTTTTATGTCTTTTTTATTTTAAAGACTACCAAGGGCAGGCAGTAGTATAAAAGAAGATCATTTGGTTTTAGTCATGAGCTTACAGTTACAAGCTGACCAGTCAGCCAAGATGCACCCCATTGGGCTGTCAGAAGGTGTTAGGCTTGAGTTACCCCCTTTCGATTTTAAGAAAAGGAAATCAAACCCAAACTGAGTACCCTTTTACAACAAATTTCCCCAAAGAAAAAGTTGAGACGACAGTCTATTTGCTCTTGTCTCACATTGCTCCATACGTAAATGATCCACACTGGCTCTAAATGGTTTAAAGCCCCCAAAGCAGAGATTAAGGTCTTTGATGTGCACATCAGCAAGACTTATCTGGTTGGGGTCCATGAGGTTGAAGGACTGATAGGAACACAATTCAGAACACAGCACATGCTTGTATATGGTCCTGGCAGGGTCATCATAGGTATAAGACTAGACAGGATCTTTTGATTGAGACAACAGAAATGAGAGTGCATCAAAAACGGCAAGCAGGGCGAGTCGGGCGGAACACGCTCAATCAGCTCGCACCCAGGGAGCAATCCACTGGACACCGCCCCCCCCCCCCCCCCCC